GCGGCCGCCAACTGCAGCTCGTCAGCGAAGGGGCCCCCAGGCTTCAGGCAAGAAGGCTCGGGAGCCGCCTCGTCTGCGCCGGGCGGGAGCCCTAAACCCTTTCGGAAGCGCGAGCCCGGCGCCGCAGACCCAGCGCGAGAGCCCTACGGAGAAAAAAGACGCGTAACGCAACACGACGCTTTGGTTGCGAGACAGGGCCGGCGCCGTGACCTTGCATAGTCTGATTTCAGAGGAATAAATATAAGACTGTACCGTTGAAAGAACGGGATGTGGACAGAGTTTCAGGTCTCTCCTGAAATGTTGGGGAGGGCAGGGGTCACATATCGCCCTTCTTACTACGGTACAGGAGGCCTTCTCGGAACTCCGCTCCAGGTTGCGGATCAGCTGAGCGATTCCGTCATTAACGATGACGCGGCGGATCTGTAAAAGCCTCTCAAAAGAGTGAGGGGGACGCAGATTCATTCCTTGGGCACGATGTGGTTTTCGGTCCAGATAATATGCAAAACAGACTTGAGAGAACTTTAAAAAAAAAAAAAATTCCCCAGTACTGTAACTGCCTAAGATTAACGCTTTAGCTCGATCCTCCTATCCGCCCCGGTTTGCAATACTGTACCTATTTACTGTAATCGGAGCGCCGCTCAGTTACTTAAAGAAACGAAGCCTTGCTGGCAACGTGATTATTTACTGATCACCGTCGTATACTGAGGAGGGAAGTCCGCGAATAAACGGCGCGCCTGCGCCTCCCCCTCCCCCCGTTCCGGCAGTGAACCCACGTGGGCCCTGCAGGCCTCGCTGTCCGCAGCTCGGTCAGCTGGCGGTTCGGCGGCTGAAAGAGCTCTTGGGGCGACGGCGGGGAGGGCCCCCTTTCCATTAAGACGTCGCTTGTTGGACTGAGTACGCCGTATGCTCTTCGGTTGGGCCAAGTGATAATTACTGCATGACATTCGCATTTAGTCATGATGAATGTGCTCATTCAGTTCAGGAAATGTGACGGGCTAACGCTTGAGCAAGAGGGTGCCTTTTCGGCTATTTCCTTACATCCCAAGTCAAGAGCTGTATTTTCCCACAGGAAGGCAAGGGAGACTTCTCTGCCGCTGTGGTTTGGAGAGCAGCCCGCTCATAACTCCCTAAATTTCAGCTCCATTGGCCTGAAGGAAGAGGCGGGCGGATCTCATTCGGCTGCAGTTGGATCTGTCCCAGTAACACTGCTAGGATAGTTTAGAGCAAAATAAACTGGAGGTACGCACGCTTTTATTCACTGGAGATGAGCCAAGCCGTGAGAGTCTAAAAACTAAGAGATCGCGGGGGCTGGACTCCCCCTCCTTAAATGAACATGTTTAAAAAATACGGAATGCATTTCATTAGTAGAAGTGGACCAGTGGGAAAGTAACTGCGGGATCGGCGAATTTCCCTCCACATAAGTTGGAGCTGACGTAATGTTTTCTTTTTTTTTCCCCCTCACTGTCTGAACAGACGGAAGAAACAGCACTGTTCAGGCATCCATCTGATTCTCGCGGTACTTACACACACAGTCCCCGTCCCAAGTTAAGCCAACACGGTTCGTCTTGCAGTTGAGCTCTTTTAAGCAGCAGATGCGATCTATCCCAAAGCGCGTTCATAGGGTGATGTAAACTCCAATGGGACGTACTTCTAAACCAGGTTTGGGATAGGATTGAGCGCCGGGTGCTGGTAGGTTTTTTGCCTGCGGTTTATAGGAATCGCTTTTTCCCGGGTAAACTCTCGGAAAGGATTCGAGGGGCCGTTCGGCACCTGGGGCGAAGGACTTCACCCCAGCAGTGCGTTATTCGGGGCAGGAGCTGCAGCGATCTCCGAAGAGGCGGAAGAGGAACAAGATCTGAGCCACCTGGCCGCTACGTGTAAGGCTAAAAAGTGGAAAACTTGCTCACTGTTCTCTGGCGGGCCAGGGAGCGGCTGTTGCAAGGACTCCACCGATGGAAAGAGGCCGCCAACCTGACTATCATAATCCAAAAAGCGGGATCCGAGAAGTGGCGGAAAAACCGCACCGAGGCCTTCTCCCGCTGACCAAGCCGAAGGCGAAAGGAAAGCGTGAAGGCGGGCTCGTGGAATGAGAGCAGCCTCCGGCGGAGGAGATTCCTGGAGCGGGCTGCAGTGCTACTGACACATACAACTTTGTAAACGCTGGTTGCACTGGGTTAGGAAGCGCACCCGGCGACTGAAGCATTTAAATTCACTTCTCCTTTCCCCCCTCCGACTCCCCCCTTTTCCTACTCGTCTTCCCCCATTTTTGCCAACTTTGCGATCAAAGGACTGATTAGGAAGCGAAGCACTGGAGCTTCCCTCGCCTGCTCGCGATTACGCTGCCTTGTGGGGGGAGAACTTCTCTACCCCCTCCTCGGTTTAGCTCCGGTATTTGACAGACTCACCCCATAAGCCGCTACCCAGCCAGCCCCCGGGAGGGAAGGGGAGCGGAGGGGAGGGGCAGTTCTGGCTCCTGGCTCCTCTCCCGCTTACTCAGTGCTGGGAGGTGGGGGAGGGCACACCTCGTGGCGGAGGAGGCGGCAGCAGCAGCAGCAGCAGCAGCAGCTTGTGCCAAGCACCAGTTGAAGAACAAAGAAGGAAGAAGCGGCGAGAGGGCCATTCTCAAGTTACTTTCTGCCCCAGCGAGCCCCGTCCATCCCGCACAGCAGACGCTTTTTTCCCGAAGGACTACTGGAAACTGCCTTCTCTCGCCCGCTCTTTTCTCCCCCCTTCTTTTTTCCCAAGTTTCTTTCGGCCTCTTCTCCCTTCCCCTCCAATAAAAGGAAAGGAATCCTCCACGATTAGGCGGAAGGCACCGAGATGAAAACTCAGAAAAGTAAGTAGGTTTGTCCTGGTTTGAGCGCCTTTCTGCTCCTGCGGCGGCTCCAAGCAAAGGAGCTCCTCTCTGCCTTCCTCGTGGCGCTGCTAAACAATTGTCAGGAAGGGTGCGTGCGTGTGGCTTGGTGTGCGCAACTCTAGAGTACAGCTTGTGGAAGAAATTGGGACTTCTCCCCGTCCATTTCTTTTAAAAACCCGGACCGTTTTGCTTCTTTGTACAGCAGTAGCACGAAACGGCAGTTGAGGGGGTTCCCCGTTCAGACAAAACATAAGCGCGGCGAAGTTTGTTTGAAGGTTTCTGCATCTTCAGCTGCTGGCGCCCTGTCAAAAACAGGTCTCAACGGCCTGTTTTGTGTCCGAACAAAGTTTTCTCTCCGACTCTTTCTCTCCCCGGCCCGCTCACAACTCTTTCTTTAAGCCTGCTTCTTTCATGTTATCTGGTTCAGTTTCTTCTACTGAAAACTCAACTTTTATTGAGCAAGGCTGCATCTAAAAAAAAATCTTAGACTAGCAACAGCGTGCTTGAAGTAGTTTCTTTGTTTGCGATTGTCGGATAGGGAGGGGGCATAGAGACAGGGGTGGAGCCTCTGAAAATCGGTTAAAGCCTGGAGAGCAGATCTCCCACGCCTGATACTCTGGACTTGTAAAAGTGCAGTTTATTTTTAAGAAGAGGACATAAAAGCAAGTTAATGTGCTATTTCCAGGATGAAAGGCTGGGGTACAAAAGATAACTGAAAATCACTTTTTTTAAAACTCTGGACATGGTGAACTGTCTTGTACGCTTAACAAAGGCATTGCCATTGTTTCTGTTTGTGAATTTAACAGCACAGTCCTGTTCATGTTTACTCAGAATATGCCCCTTTGAGTTACAGTAGGGTTTCTTACCTATGTTTACCTAAACTCTTGTTTATGTTACAGTAGGATTTCATATGTATGCACACTGAAAAATGAAAAGTCAGCATGCTTAGAGTTACATAGTTGAATGGAAAGGTACAATATAACTCCAGTATTAACAATGATTTAGGCTTTATGGTTCATTATGAAACTTACCGTTGCTTTTGAAATGTATCTAAAACTTCCTTTTCCATGCAGCTGATTTTGCGTAGTGACATGTAAATATGAAATATGAAAAGGAAAGTGGGCTACAAGTTAGGTAGATCCATTCAATGGTAATGTAAGCCCACATAAAATAAATCTGTGAGAGGCACAACCTTGGTTTATAACAATATCTGCCCCAACAGTACCATGGCCTACCTCTGAAGCTCATGCATAGTTTTTGAACTTTGTAGTTGAACAAAAAGGTTTTTGTAACACTATTGAACAAAAACTTCCACACTGAATAATTTGAATAGCTATTTTTATAACGTTCCTCTGCTCTCTCTGTTTGAACAGTGGTGGTGAGTTGGTTTCCTGCCTGCTGTTGTGTCCATTGTTCCAAGTTTGGGGAGGGGGAGGTGGAGGGCTGGAGGAGGAACTGAACAATCGGCTGAAGCTGGAGAGGGATGGGGTAGAG